AACTCCAGGCAGAAGTGCTAACCATTTAGTCACTGTGCTGCCCAGTGTTTTTCATCTTTTTTTCAGTCATGGCACCCTTTGAAAGTATGTCCCTCTCCTTTTACATTAGTGTCAAAAACCCCTCGCTTTCACATATGAGTCATCAGTCAACCCCTTTCACATAAGAGCTCTTTCTTCCAATCTTCTTCACAGCAGGGCAGTGGCAGCATGGTAGTGGACGAAAGGAGGTACGGGTCAAGAAAGAGGGGATCTTTTGTCCCGGTCTGAATGGTAGGGCTGCCCTGAATGCTGTCTGCCCTGGATTAGCGTCATGCATTTCCATGGTACTGCCAGCCACCTCATCTGTGCCATAGAAAAGCATGAGGCGAGACTGAGCAAAAATACCAGGCACAGCACGTCACCCCTGAAGAACCCAGACAGCACCTCAGGGTGCTGTGGCACCCCCATTGGAAAATGCTCATCTATACAATGCCCCTAACATACCCTTCTTTTTTATATTGCTTTTCATTATTACAGCAAAAAATGCCCATTTTTTTAAAATTATGTATTTTATATAGGCATTCGTATCGCACCAACAATTTTTAAGGCACAATTAATGGGGATAAGGTGGGAGATGGAAACCTAAGAGGTCTCAACATTCTTGCTAGAAGGACTTACTGGTACCACACCCCTTATCTGTAAGATACTGCAAATGAAAATCCTAACTAAAAAAGCTAATGGGGATTTAAAGGTACCATACCTTACAATAAAAAAATAAAAAATTGGTATAACAATAACCACTTTATTAATAAAAAGGAGCCACCAGAATGGTAGAACATAACATATAGACATATTACTTTTAAAAAAGCATACCATGCTTGAGACAAAATTGACAGAAAATACTGCAGAAAATGGCCTACTGACACATACATCAAATTGACATAGCCTTGTACAAATTGATACTTTGTTTGTTACTCCAACGTGTTTCATGGGACACAGCCCGCTTCCTCAGGGAGACAAAGTATGTATTTCTGAAAGTAAACAAAAGTAGGCCCAAAACATACCATAAGGGTATAACACATTACAATGATATTACATAGATATAATAATTGTAATGTACAGCATTGAGCAAACTGTTGGCGCTATATAAATACTGTGTAATAATAAATAATAATAATATGATATGAACATTATTAGCATTTACCGGTTGGTGATATTAGTGATTTCATATAAGGCCAATGAAAATACACGTGCATCTGATTCAGACATAGATGGAGGAGACCCCTCAACCAAAGATATCAGTATCCGCTAGTCAGGTAAAATCATCGATCCATAATGAGAAGTTTAAACATCATTAAAAAAAACACAGACTTTAAGGTGTCCCAGGGCATTCCAAATTACACCCCTACTCCCCAAACTAATTATACATCCAAGCCCTAAAGAAGGAGGGACAACAGTAACAAACAGGGGAACAGGTATAAAACCATGCCCCCTACAAAAATAGCACCTTATGGTACCAAATCAATATATCATGGCAAAAAATCACATTAAATATTAGAATTAATTGTGGCAAAATGGATCTATTAATATACATACCACAGCGGACAGGATAATAGTGTGTCCCAATGGGCAGTCTGTGACCTCTAGAGGACTCCAAATTAATGGTTATGTATGTGTCCGAGAACCCCAAATTACAGGAGGAGAGAAAGCACTCCTTCACCTCCAGGTCCCATCAGTCCTCTCCAATATAGTTATCACATACATCTACATTTTCAAACCTTAAGTAGCAGTACTAACCGCCAATTAACGCCATTTTCACCCTATTGCTCATGTGCGGCGACGTTACTGACGTACACCAGTGACGTTATAACGTTGATACGTCCCGTGTCATGACGTCAGGAGGTCGCATGATCGCGGCCATCTTTAAGAAGTCCACAAGCCAGGACAAAAAGCGCCAGATATATATTAATCATTGCCAAAAGGAGAGAACTGGATACACACGGGAAAAGCACTCAGACTAGAACAACTATCCAGATCCAGTAACTATACATTAATTTAAAACCGCAATTGGAGAAGCACACAAAAGAAAGGTTCTCAGACCAGGCCCTAGTCCAGCAATGGGCAAACTAAAGCCCGCGGGCCGTATACAGCCCGGCGGGACCTTTTAATCTGGCCCGCGGAGCGTGATACATTGGCTGTCAGGATGTGTGTAGGCGGGGCAGCGTGACGAACATGAGGGGAGCTAGGCTCCTCTCACAGTCCGCCCTGAAGACCGGAACGGCGCTGGAACACGGCAAGAGGAACGCGCGGAGCAAAGGTAAGTAAATTGACACAGGGGAATATGGGGAATGAATTACTATAGGGGGGATGAATTACTATAGGGGGGATGAATTACTATGGGGGATGAATTACTATATGGGGGATGAATTACTATATGGGGGATGAATTACTATGGGGGATGAATTACTATATGGGGGATGAATTACTATGGGGGATGAATTACTATATGGGGGATGAATTACTATGGGGGATGAATTACTATATGGGGGATTAATTACTATGCTTACTATGGGGGAATATTACTATACTTACTATGGATGACACATACACATCATTCATCTACTCTTGGTCCGGCCCCCGGGTCCAATATATGAACCCATTGTGGCCCTCAAGTCAAAAAGTTTGCCCACCCCTGCCCTGGTCCAATGTCTATACATCCATTTTAAACCACAAATCGAGAAACAGTTACTCAGGATTTAAAAGCCCTGTAGAGTCAATTTCATCACCAGCAGGTATTACATTGTGCTATTAGGATGATCTCATACAAATAGATCACCATAATCAACTATATCTCCAACTTACTCAATATATCCAACAAAAATAACCAAATACATAGCTGGTATAGAACATACAAAGTTATACATAAATATCAATTAAATTGACTCAAAATATGTACAAAAATAATAGTCTTAAGAGCAGGGCTACATGGTGGCTGCAATATCATATAGACCTAAAAAAAGAAAGTAAGTTGGAGATATAGTTGAGCTTGCCTGTATTTTGCTTGCCAGACCTTTGACTAAGTGGACATTTCATAAGTGGAGTAAAAAATCGGAGTGGAAAACAAGAGATTATAACAGGAGTCTACTAACCTGTGACAACTGACATTTCCTGTTAAATATTGTAACTGGGATAATGTGTGCTAGCAGGGTTGAAGGTTTTGTGCAGTGTGTTAGGAATGGACTGGCCAGCAATGGTGGGACTCACCTGCCTTTTGATCTGCAGTACCAGGGCTGGCCAGTGGGTGCTCCCAGCAATCAGAGACTCAACCTTTCAGCCAGCTAACACCTGGAACTGATGATGCTGGGGTATTTAAGGGATGGCCAGACCCACAGACTCGGCCTTGGTGTTGTGTTTGTCCTGGGCCCTGTATCTGTCCTGCATCCTGTTTCTGTCCCTCTGCCTGACCCTCTGTACTACGCTGCTTGTTACCTGTTTTGATCTCTGGCTTGTGACCCTGACCATCCCTCTGCCTGACCCTCTGTACTACGCTGCTTGCTACCTGCTGAATCTGGCCTGTGACCCCGACCATTCTCTGCTTGCTCCCCCTGTACCTACCTGCCCAATTGATATTGACCCGGCCTGCCTGACGACGCTTGCTTGTATGTACTGTTATCTGTGGGTGGTTTGGTTTGGTTTGTTTGCACTGTATTATGTTTAGTATTGCACTGCGTTTATGTTTGTATGGTTAGTGTTAATAAATTGTATTGTTTATCACATATCTGAAGTCTGCGTTTCCCTGCATCAGTCACACACCTCTGGTCATACCTGGGAGCCCTGACATTACACCAAGGCCAATCCTGACCAGAAGTGGCTGCACAGGGAAGCCATCTTGGCTTGTTGATGGGAAGGATGGATCTTGATGAGGTTGAATATTTATATCTGCTAGTGTTTGATGACAGGGAGTATGCTTATCAAACTCTGAAGGAGTATACCCGGGATGAACTGCTAGAATGTATACGGCTCGCTCATGTTCTAGTAGATCAGGGCACAGAGTTCTCTGAGGTGCAGCCTTTGATTGAGGTTTGTGCTGAGTTGGTTTCATCTGGTTCCCCCGAATGCAGGGATGAATTTTTGCCACCATTTAGTGCAGACCAGGTAGAGTCCCTGGTGTGGTTATTAGAGGATGATGTGGGTTACTTTCTGGAGCGTTATTCCACATGTTCACCACAGACACTAAGAGATTGTATAAACGCAGTACAGTCATTGACCAGACAGGCTTTGTGTAAGCTCAGCTTTGTTCAACCCATACTGCAGACATGGACAGATTTGTTGCACCCAGCCTCAGTCAGCTTACAAAGACCCAGTCCTGCTTCTAATCTATTTCCTCAAAACTCTATTCCTGCATTCCCAACAGCTCCTCCTGCCCTGCTATCTACCGCATGTCAGTACCCTGTTCCCACTCGCTGCACCTATCCTGCCTTTAACCCTGTAAAAGAGCCCTCTGTAGCAACCGCTCCCTCTCCTGTTCCATCCTCCAGTTCTTCTCTGTCTCCAGCTGCTCCATTCGTTTGCAGACCTGCGTTTACTTGCAGTGCTCCAGTAGTTAAAACCAGAAAAAAGCGAAAATTCTTTCCAACCAATACCATCCTGCCAGTATCCAAACCGGTGAGCCTGCCTTCCGTGGTTTGGCCTGATGCCTCTACTCAGCCTGATGCCTCTACTCGGCCTGAAGCCTCTACTCGGCCTCATGCCTCTACTCGGCCTGATGCCTCTACTCGGCCTGAAGCCTCTACTCGGCCTGAAGCCTCTACTCGGCCTGATGCCTCTACTCGGCCTGATGCCTCTACTCGGCCTGATGCCTCTACTCGGCCTGAAGCCTCTACTCGGCCTGAAGCCTCTACTCAGCCGGACGCCGGCATTCAGCCTGATGCCTCTACCCAGCATGATGAACTGATCCAGCCTGACGATCCTATTAGGCCAGTTGACTCGATGCCCGCTGTTGATCCAGATGATCCGGTACCTGATCCGGTGCCCGCTGTCGAGCCAAATGACCTGATGCCTGGTGACCCAGTGCCCGCTGTCGAGCCAGACAATCCGGTACCTGATGACCCGGTGCTCACTGTCGTGCCTGTTGACTCGGAGCCCACTGCCTTGCCAGATGACGCGGTGCCCGCTGTCGAGCCAAATGACCTGATGCCTGGTGACCCAGTGCCCGCTGTCCAGCCAGACGATCCAATGTCTGACCCAGTGCCCGCGGTCATACTAGTTGACTCGGAGCCCACTGCCTTGCCAGATGACGCGGTGCCCGCTGTCGAGCCAAATGACCTGATGCCTGGTGACCCGATGCCCGCTGTCCAGCCAGACGATCCAATGTCTGACCCAGTGCCAGCGGTCATCCCAGTTGACTCGGAGCCCACGGTTGTGCCTGGTGACTCGGTGCCCGCCGCCCCGCCTGGGGGCCTGAGACCTGTCGTTCCGCCTGGGGGTCCGGCGCCCGCCACTCCGCCTGAGGGTCCGAGACCTGTCGCTCCGCCTGGGGGTCCGGCGCCCGCCGCTCCGCTTGAGGGCCCGAGACCTGTCGCTCCGCCTGGGGGTCCGGCGCCCGCCGCTCCGCCTGAGGGCCCGAGACCTGTCGCTCCGCCTGGGGGTCCGGCGCGCCCGCCGCTCCGCCTGAGGGCCCGAGACCTGTCGCTCCATCTGGGGGTCCGGCGCCCGCCGCTCCGCCTGAGGGCCCAAGACCTGTCGCTCCTCCTGGGGGTCCGGCGCCCGCCGCTCCGCGCCTGAGGGCCCGAGACCTGTCGCTCCATCTGGGGGTCCGGCGCCCGCCGCTCCGCCTGAGGGCCCGAGACCTGTTGCTCCGCCTGGGGGTCCGGCGCCCGCCGCTCCGCCTGGGGGCACGATGCCTGTCGCCCCGCCTGGGGGCACGATGCCTGTCGCCCCGCCTGGGGGCACGATGCCTGTCGCCCCTCCTGGGGGCCCGGCGCCCGCCGCCCCGCCTGGGGGCCCGACGCCGGTCGCCCCGCCTGGGGGCCCGGTGCCTGCCGCCCCGCCCGGGGGCCCGGTGCCTGCCGCTCCGCCCGGGGGCCCGGTGCCTGCCGCTCCGCCCGGGGGCCCGGTGCCTGCCGCTCCGCCCGGGGGCCCGATGCATGTCGCCCCGCCCGGGGGCCCGGTGCCTGCCGCTCCGCCCGGGGGCCCGATGCATGTCGCCCCGCCCGGGGGCCCGGTGCCTGCTGCTCCGCCCGGGGGCCCGGTGCCCTGCTGCTCCGCCTGGTGGCCCGGTGCCTGCTGCTCCGCCTGGTGGCCCGCTGCCCTGCTGCTTCGCCTGGTAATCCGATGTGCCTCTGCCCGGAGTCCTGCCCGATGTGCCTCTGCCCGGAGTCCTGCCCGATGTGCCTCTGCCCGGAGTCCTGCCCGATGTGCCTCTGCCCGGAGTCCTGCCCGATGTGCCTCTGCCCGGAGTCCTGCCCGATGTGCCTCTGCCCGATGTGCCTCTGCCCGATGTGCCTCTGCCTGATGTGCCTCTGCCCGGTGTGCCTCTGCCCGGTGTGCCTCTGCCCGGTGTGCCTCTGCTCGATGTGCCTCTGCCCGGAGTCCAGCCCGGTGTGCCTCTGCCCGGAGTCCAGCCCGGTGTGCCTCTGCCCGGAGTCCAGCCCGGTGTGCCGCTGCCCGGAGTCCTGCCCGTTGTGCCAGTCTTTAATATCCCGCCAGTTACCAGACCCGGGCGGTGGAACATTTTGCCCAGCTAGGACTGTTTGGAGCGTCCTGAGGCCGCTCCTTGGGGGGGGGGGGGTACTGTTAGGAATGGACTGGCCAGCAATGGTGGGACTCACCTGCCTTTTGATCTGCAGTACCAGGGCTGGCCAGCGGGTGCTCCCAGCAATCAGAGACTCAACCTTTCAGCCAGCTAACACCTGGAACTGATGATGCTGGGGTATTTAAGGGATGGCCAGACCCACAGACTCGGCCTTGGTGTTGTGTTTGTCCTGGGCCCTGTATCTGTCCTGCATCCTGTTTCTGTCCCTCTGCCTGACCCTCTGTACTACGCTGCTTGTTACCTGTTTTGATCTCTGGCTTGTGACCCTGACCATCCCTCTGCCTGACCCTCTGTACTACGCTGCTTGCTACCTGCTGAATCTGGCCTGTGACCCCGACCATTCTCTGCTTGCTCCCCCTGTACCTACCTGCCCAATTGATATTGACCCGGCCTGCCTGACGACGCTTGCTTGTATGTACTGTTATCTGTGGGGTGTTTTGGTTTGGTTTGTTTGCACTGTATTATGTTTAGTATTGCACTGCGTTTATGTTTGTATGGTTAGTGTTAATAAATTGTATTGTTTATCACATATCTGAAGTCTGCGTTCCCTGCATCAGTCACACACCTCTGGTCATACCTGGGAGCCCTGACACAGTGCACAATGTGCCGCATGTATGCAGCAATGGAGTGACAGCTCCAGGATGGATACCGCTGCGACAGATGTGAGTGGCTTGCCCTTCTGGAAACTCGCGTTAGAGATCTGGAGGAGCAAGTTTGCAACACTGGGCAGAACAGACAATCTTGAAAGGGGGTCTTCTACTCTCTGAGCAGGTAGCTAATGGGATTGATGTGGAGGGCGGAGGGGCTAATCAGGATTATCAGGTAGGAAGATGGGTTACTGTAACAAGAGGGAGTGGTCAGGAAAGACAGAGGGAGATTCGAGAACTTAATGCATGGCTGAAGACCTGGTGTAAGAGGGAAGTATTTGGGTTTCTAGAGCACTGGGTTGACTTTTCATTGGGTGCAACCTGTATGCTAGAGATGGTCTGCACCTAAATGGAAGGGGATCTGCTGTCCTAGGGGAAAGGTTTATGGGAAGGCTGGATGAGTATTTAAACTAGGATCGAGGGGGTAGAGAGAATTAGATTATAACAGGGTAGAAAGATCAGACAGGGGTCAGTACTTATTGGTGGGTGGAATGGGGAAAAGATGGGGGGAAGGCTATGGCAGATGATAAGAAGGTTCCCATGTTAAAAACAACCAGTAGAATTGGTACCATTTGTATGAAAATAAAAATATGCAAAATACGTGTGAACAAGGTGTCAATGAATTAAAAAGTTTGTTCACCAATGCCAGAAGTTTGCCAAGCAAAATAGGTGAGTTGGAAGCTTTGGTGCATGACGAGAAACTATGATTTAATTGGTATTGCTGAATCTTGGCTTCATTCTTCACAATGACTGGGCTATTAATATTCCCTGGCCATGTTCTCTTGATCAGAGTGACAGGGTAAATAGGAAAGTTGGGGTGTGTGGTCTGTCTCTAGGGTTGTGAGAAGTGATCTCAGAGCGAGTGTGAAAGAGGACTAAGTTGATGGAGAGTGTGATGAGGCTGAAGTATTATGGGTGGAACTGCACATGGGGGGGTGCATACTACAAAGGTAATCATTGGAGTATTTTATAGGCCTCCCAGTGTTAATGAGGAGTGGAAACTCAGCTCCTTGCACAGATCGAAAGGGCTGCAAGGGCTGGGACAGTGATAATAATGGGGTTTTTAACTCTACCCGGAAATTGACTGGAGTAATGGTACTGCAGGAACAGTTAAAGGGCAACATTTTTTAAACAGGGACAATTTTATGGTACAGTTCATACAAGCCCACTAGGAATGATGCTCTGCTGGACCTGGTAATCTCAAACCATGCAGAGCTTATTACGAATGTCCATATAAAAGATCATCTGGGTAGCAGTGACCATAACATGATTTCATTTATTGTTAGCTGTAAACAGCGAGCACATACAGGAAAAATAAAACGCTCAATTTCAAGAGAGCTAATTTTCCAAGGCTGAGAGCTACTCTCCAAGACTTAGACTGGGAGGGAATATTGTCATCAATGAACACAACACAGAAATTGGAGTTCTTCAAAGACTGTAAGTGAACACACTGCAAAATATATTCCCATGGGCAACACATTTAAAAAGGCTAAAAATCAAACCTATGTGGCTTATGGCCAAAATTAAAAAAGCTATAGAAAGAGCTTTTATTAAATATAAAAATGAAGGAATGCTATCATCATTTAAGCATTACAAAGAATATAACAGAATATGCAAAAAGGAAATAAAGGCTGCAAAAATTGAAAATGAATGACAGATTGCAAAAGATAGCAGGACCAACCCCAAAAAATTCTTCAACATTTATTAATAGTAAACAGGGCAGGTCCGAGCATGTAGGCCCTTTACAAAATAATTAGAGTGGATTAATTGGGGACAAAGAGAAGGCAAATGTATTTAATACCTTCTTCAGCTCTGTGCAATTATACAAAGGAGATGGGGGGGGCTCTTGTCCATAATGAGCATGGTATTGACACAGATGATCCACATTGGCTCACAATTGATATGATCCAAAAAATATTTAAATAGTATAAAGGTGATTAAAGCACCTGGACCAGAAGATCCTGGACCAATTGAGCTCTGTCATTTCAAAGCCATTGTTTTCTAATTTTTAGGTACTCTTTAATGACTGGCATATTACCACTGGATTGGCGTAAGGCCAATGTGGTGCCAATATTTAAAAAGGGGTCAAAATCTTTACCAAGTAATTAGACCTGTTAGTTTAACTTCTATAATTGGGAAGATATGGAGAGTTTAATAAAAGACCACATAGATGAGTTCTTGCTGGAAAAAAAATATTTTAAGCAACAGACAGCATGTCAAACAAATCTGATTTCTTTTTATGAGGGAGGTGAGCAAAACCTTGGACAGAGGGGTGGCGGGTGGACATGGTATACTTGGATTTTGCAAAAGCGTTTGACACAGCTCCCCACACATGGCTAATGTGTAAGGTAAAGTCTACGGGCTTGGAAAAATCTGTATGTAAATGGATAGAAAAACTGGCTAAAAGATCATTTCAAAGAGCAGTGGTTAATGATTCATACTCTGAATGGTCTAGGGTTGTCAGTGGTGTACCCCAAGGTTCAGTGTTGGACCCTTACTTTTTAATATATTTATATAAACGATATAGGGTCTGGGATTAAAAATTCCATTTCAGTCTTTGCAGATGACACCAAGCTGTGCAGTGGAATAACGTCCTTACAGGATGTCTTCATCTTCAATGCACTGTCTAATTGGGCAACTATGTGGCAAATAAGGTTAATGTTGATAAATGTAAGGTGATGCACTTGAGGGCTAAGAATATGCTTGCATCATACATACTACGGGGAGTACAACTGGGGGAATCAATGTGAAGGATTTGGGAGTTCTGGTAGAATCACAAGCTTAATAATGGCATGCAATGCCAAGCTGCGGTTTCTAAAGTTAGCAAAATCCTCTCTTTTTTATCATTTAAATATTTATTAGTTTTCATTTAAATACATTTCATCATCACAATATATATACATATATATAAAATATACATTATAATATCCAACATTTCTACTTTATTTACTTTATTTCCAAGTTTTCCCTCCCACCTCCACCCCCCACCCTAGTCCCATCTTCCTACTCTTCCTTTTCTCTGCGTCTTTTTTATATCAGCAAGTGCAGTTATAAACTTAGCTTTTTCCCAGTTCTCCCATTTCCCATAATAAGTCTCCATCCTATCTTCCTGGATATGACACAACCTTTCCATCTTTTTAATCTGC